GGCAGAGACATTAGAATACCTGATATATGTTTATTATTGTGGTATTTTAGGTAAAGAACAACAGACTTTTTTAAGTGTAGCCCTCATACCTTGAAAAACTCTGTCGACGAGCAGAACAACGAACAGAAGGGTTTTTTAATGATGCAATAACGATCTAAGTTTTTTGATCTGGAGGGACTGTCTCATGCATTATCCAAGCTCATCCCACACATACTTGATCAGATTGAGATCACCCGCCATAACGGCCAGACGCAAAGTCCGCATGTGCAGGACGTCGAATGTACCCGAGGATGGTGCCTTTGCGGGCAGGCACTAGGAGGGGTCCGGATGTCTTTATAATAACAGATCATAACATGCGCAGAGTGGCATACTGTGATGTTTTAGTCGGTCCGATTCCAACACACCACCCCGACGCAAACCGAGGTGATGTGACGGCCCTAGGGGGTATCCACAATAATACACTCTAGAGCTATGTTCCGGGTCAAACTCTGAATGACAATTTTTAAGAACGTGAGCGTTAATTGTATGGAGTAGCCAGAATGCAGTACCTTTCTTTTTTTTGGTTACGTGTGGAGAGGGGGTATCCGGAACATAGCTCTAGAGTGTATTATTGTTAATGGTTATAGTAAAAAATGTATCTGGAATTAGTTCCAGACAACCATTTCATAAAGATGTCATTAAATCTTTTAAAGTTAACTTAATAAAACTACAGTAATATTAGAACATGTTTAAACGACGCAGAAACTTAAATACGTGTGTCAAAGTTACCGAACAAGGCCTTCGAGTTATTGGATTACATAGGAAGTTTACACTTGAGATTACAACGTCGGGTGATTCTACTGAAAGCTTCAATTCCTGCTAAACTAGCCTGTTGATAAGCAAGTACAAGTCCAATCCATTAATTATTATAAGTTTCTAAGTTTCAATTACGATTGAACTTTGGTTTCGAATTAACCGGCAATGGTGACATTTCTTTACTGTGCTTCTATTACTGAGTTACAATTGTTTTTTGTTTCATAATTAATAAAGGAGAATGCCCATTCATGGTTTTACTTTTAGACGTTTGCGTTTTATTTCAAATGTATTTTTTTTTTAATTTTAATGTGACTTTTCGATCCTAAAACTCTTCTATTGAACTTAGGGTTTGAAATTAAATTAAATCTTACAAGGACTAAAACTTGAATCAATGAACGTGTACCTTTTAAGTGACGATTTGAGCAAGATGGCTGGCAGGAGCTGGATGCGAGAAGCCCAAAATCGATCGAAGTGGCGTGCAATAAGAGAGGTCTATGTCCAGCAGTGGACTGCGATAGGCGGATGATGATGATGAACTAGGTAGTATTTTAAAAGTTAAATATATTGTGTATAGATATTTTCTTACTATATTATTTTGTCAGTTTCTTTGATCATTTCATCTTGTACTGAGTCTACCAATAGGGATGATCTGGTTTTGACAGCTCATAGCGGCCATGTTTGATGATGGATCTTTGACGTCTCTTGACATTTGTGTTCAGTAAGGATTGCCATTTTATCATGTCACGTTTCACTTTAATCCAATGCTTGGAAATTGTCCAAAATTATTACGCAAATTCGCGTTCTGCTACCGCTACAGTAAGACCGCTTCGCGTAAAAAACGGTCGTCATATTGCTCCTTCTCTGCGCGCTATAAATCGCATAACAACAAAATTTTAAAGTGAATTCACTCTCCACGATATTGCTGTGCCTGTGAGACAAAGAAATGCCCGTAGTGAAGAGAATATTGCAGCCGTTTAGGCCAGTGTTAATGCGAATTCAAATCGATCAGTTCAACGCCGTTCACAAGAGTTGGGGCTCCTCCAATGACCATCTGGCATATTTTGCGGTTGGATTTGGGCCTACACCGATAAAAAATTGTTTTGGCACAAGATTTGAAGCCATACGACCATTGTATCCGTCGTGAATTTGCCGATTATGCACTGGAAATGATGGAAGCCGATGACGATTTTCATCGTAATATCATCTTCTCAGATGAGGCCCATTTCTGGCTCAATGGATTTGTTAATAAACAAAATTGTCGCTATTGGAGTGAGTCAAATCCACGTGTGGTTCATGAATCACCATTTCCTCCGCAAAAAAGAACAGTTTGGTGCGGTTTATGGTACGGTGAAATCATTGGTCCATACTTCTTTGAAAGTGACGAAGAAAACTCTGTTACTGTGAATGTCGAGCGCTATAACTCGATGTTAACCGAATATTTCTTTCCGGAATTTGATGATATTGATGCAGACGACCTTTATTTTCAACAAGACGGTGCACCACCTCACATTACTCGAGTGAACATGGAATTATTGCGTGGAAAGTTTTGTGAGTCGTTAATTTCGAGAAATGGACCGATCAATTGGCCACCAAGATCGTGTGATTTAACACCTTTAGACTATTTTCTTTGGGGTTACGTTAAATCTTAAGTGTACAACAATAATCCAGCTACAATTCGTGACCTAAAAACCAACATTCGACGAGCCATAGCCGACATACCGGCCGAAATGGTGCACCTCGTCATCGAAAATTGGCGTGAGCGGGTGACCGTCTGCAAAAAGAGCCGCGGCGGTCATTTTGCCGATATATTATTTAAAACATAAATTGCATAAAATCATCTATCAAATAAATCAATCGGATGCTTTTTCATAAAAAATTCTGTGTTTTATTCAATTTTTAAACAAGGACGTTCTTACTGGTAAACCCCATATGTTACAACATGCAAAACTACTCAATAAGTGTAGCAGTACCTAGTGCGTACTATATTTTTATTTACTATTATGGATGTAAAATATTAAAACTTTGCAAGGCGGAGCTGCTCGGGAACATTATAACTCTCTCTAACAATTATGATTTCAAAAATAGAGATTTAAAAGCGCTTGCTTATTTCTTAGTAAATATATTTCACTCACATAATCTGTTTGATGAAGATCTCATAGAATTACAATTTATTTCTCAAAGTAAATTTAAAACCAGATTACAAACAGATAATTCTCGAAAAGCTGTCAAAGTAGAATAAATCTGTTCATTGTACCTATCAATAAAAAAGCAGCAACTTAAAAATTGCTTATAAATTATTTAAAAATACAGTTATTGTTTTGTTACTTAATTTTTGCAAATATTATTATTCAAATTGTAAACAAAAATATACTACTATTGTGACTAAACTGAACCGAAGCAAACAGGTTATCATATAACACGCTGATATATTCTTTGACTAAACAACCATAAACTAAAAATTACCCAACAGCTGACTGCGCTTAACATATTCAAAATGGCGCGCAATATGTTTAAAAGAAACACAAACATACAAAATGGTTAAAATACTAAAATAGTTGCGAACCAAACGTATTAAAAGTTTTTCTTTTTGCGATTTACTCATTTTATTCAAAAATAACAACAAAAGGTATTAGAAACACTGTAGGTATTTGCAGAATCACAATATGACATAAGTTTAATATACTGTTTATTTACTAGAATTTTCACATAGTTTGAGAAACGGCAAGAAGTTGGACTGATACCATTTGAGATTCTTTTAGAACAGTGAATTTAGACAGTGATGCAAACCTTAATAAATGTGGCTAAACCCACAAAATTTGAAGGATTTCGGAAAATCCTTCAAGATTTCCTTCGTTATTCGGATCATGTTTCATTTTTGTTTTCTTAAAGACAACTCCCGCACTAGAAATACATCCTGTGTCGCGAAGAACTTTACAATCATACATGAAACGGACACAAAGAACACCCAGACTCAGAACAACAATTTGTGGATCACACAAAGTGTCGTTCCATGTGGGGATCGGACCCACAACACTCAGCGTAGTAGAAAGCGGCGTGGCGACCGCTTAAACCGCTACGCCATCCTGAAGAAGAAAATATCTAAAAATAATCAAGTGGGGATTGGTGCCTTATCTGACTGTGAATCTTTGTACGGTCTAAACCTGACCAACAACATACTGATTCGAAAATCAGTATTTCGTTAAACCTATTTTCGAAAGCAGATATATCACATTAACAAAATCACTCTGCAGAATGATAACCACAGGTATCCACACAACATAGACAGTGCTCAATAATTTAATTTAAAAAATAATAATATGAGTACTCCCTACAATTAGTATTTTTACCAAATTTAATCCTTCATTCCATCATTTCAAGTCTGAAGTTTGCTTGACGCCTCACTAAACAATATGGATTCATATAGTTTGGTGAAATTAGGACATTTTTGTACGAACCCTCTTCTGTCATTAGCACAGCTACCGTTTGCATTTAAAGAGGCTTCATTACCAGTCAGTTTGGAGACAATCGCTCTTTCTGCAGTCTTGTCGTAAGTTGCAGGGTTTCAGATGATGTAAAAGTAATATTTTTCTACTATTTGAATTATTATAATATAAAACATATTTCCGCAAAAATAATTTACCAAATTATGTATACGTACGAGCTCTAACGCGCCCACATATAATAGCTGTACCAGGCTGCCGCTTTAACCAGATTTGACGCGGTATCTAGCCGACTCCTGTATGTCTTATCCTACTTTCCTGGCGTTATTTTGCTACCGTGATTGCGTTATTTCTTGAACTTACACATAATTGCATACAATGGGACGTGCCAGTTTAATGTATATATGTAACGTATGTATATATCAGAATTCAGTCAACTGCTGTATTGGCACGTTGTAAGTCGAATTTTAGGTATTATAGAACTGCTACACGACGGTAGACTGCAACCTACTTACATTTAAATAGTAATGGTGAATATATAAGAATATCAACGTCTAATAAATACAATGAGAATGTGAATACATCTTTACGTATTAAGCAACTACACAATACACGTTATAAGTATAAAAATTCATTGTCATTTTCCAGCTCCAGCATTTTTAAACAAACTTTTAGACTCCTTAATAAATAAATACCCCTGAACCACATGTCGTAATCAACCACTAACTCGCAAACTGAATTCTAACATAGTATAAAGTATTTAGTATGAAACAAGTGACTTGCACCGCTAGTTCAGGGCACGAACCAGATACCAATCCTTTGATCCTTCGGCCGTATTGCGAGATTCCGGGCATTATTCCGCGGTACAACCTCCACCTAACTCGTTTTATTATAAATCTTTTGTTCGGAGTTGAATAGAAATGCGTGGCATTGGCTTTTAAGATAGCATTATACATTATGAGTATGTCAAATCAGATTGTGTGAGTAAAATTGTTTTTTTTATTTCGTTTCGTTTCGGTATCTCGGGAACCGTTATGGGCCAGGCACTGTAGGCGACTCAGGCGCCGCTAGTCACTAAACGAACTCCATCCTATCCTGGGGATAACAGGTGAGGCCATCTGTCACACCAGCAGAAGCGCCTGCAAAGATCTCCTACACAATAGTCTAGCATTTATAACCATATTTTTTAGAGAGAGCTGTGCTCTTCTCGAGTTTCTCTCAAGCGTTCCTTCTCTTTGCAGTTCTGTTGTCCTGCGTAGTTTGCTCCCTTAGTAGGCTCTTAAGTATTTTTAATCTATCACCAGACAGATAATTCAATAAATAATAATCAATACAACAAAAATGTTCACAATTGGCATGAATAACAAGAACAATAACATAACTTAAGAAAAAAATGCTTGCATCATTGTATTAAGCCGTGTTTTCCTTTTTATTTTAATGGGTCCCATGGTACCATACATTTCAAACAGATACTTTATCCTCCTGAATAAGAAAAGAATTTTCAAGTATATACATATGGGTATCTCAGTATGTATGTATATAAATCTGTCACACTGTTTCTGTCCATCTTCTTGATTATTATTATCTCATTAACACAAAAAATAATCTAGTGCATCTACTCAGACATTTCCCTACGACCCAAAGGAAGACTGGGAGAATATGCCTGTGGCATTAAGTCCGCTATTGTAAAATCAATTAATTTTTAAAAAGAATTGAATAAATCAATGTATGTAACAAACTTTAACAAATATACAATCGAAAACAAAACCTCTTCTTTTTTCCTTTCTTGAAGACGGCTTACAATAATGTTTTAATATTATCTTTAACAAGTATAAATGCAATGTATTGAATTCGTCTCTTTGTTAGTTTGTTGGCAGCAGTTTGCTCTTATGACAGTGTTTGTGTGAACTAGTTAAACAGAAACATTTCATCACAAATTATATTTGAATTTTGGGACAGCTCGATGAAAAGGCTCTTGTATAAGTAAAATAAATGTAGCTCGGAGCCATGTTTAAATAGAGCCTCTGTAATTAAAACCTCTCTGTCAACAGAAACAGAACATACACTGGCTTTTAAACTAGCTTCAGCGAATCTATTTAGGTCAGATGTTTGATGTTCATCTAGTCAATTAAATTAATTTCTCTAGAATATCCATACTTATGATATTATAAAAATGAAAGTGAGTTTGTTGATTTGTTTGTTTGTTACGCTTTCACTTCTAAACTACTTAACAAATTAAAAAATTCTTTCACTGATAGACAGCTACACTATCAGCGAATAACATGGTTTACTTTTTTACCGACACATACACAGGCAGAGCCGCGGGCAAAAACTATTCTTAGATACTTTTGCCTTTAAGTGCGACGTATTCTTTAGTAGCTTGAAAATCTAATATGTGCAAGGCATTAAGTCCCGATGGGATAGGAATGATACATTCCTTATCCAAAGTCAGCATAAGAACATAACATTGCTTCATCGACACATTGCTGAACTAGTGCTGAAAAATAATAATTATTTTTGTTACGTTAAAGAAATATTTTTTGACCTTTGTAACTGTTCATACATTATATCTGTCAATAACTAATCTTAGATTTTAATTGGAAAATTTACTGTTGATTTCATAGTAGTGATAAAGTACAACTTCATTAAGTCATTAAGAGACAAAATGAACGTGGATTATTGTAGTTCATTACTATTTCCTTTAGCTCTTAGATCTGTTTCGTTTTTTTATTTAGTTTTTGCTTGTTTAATAATACAAATATGGTGTATTTATTATTATTATTCCTTATAAATATCTACATGAAAGTACATGCAGATATTTACGCAGCGACAGCAGAACTTGAATTTTTAGTAGGAACTCGTCAAAGGGTAATAAATGATTTACGTTTATTCATTCATGACGAAGAGAAAAAACTCTTTATTTTAAAGAGGTAAGCGTACAACTTTACTTTTAAATATTTCTTACATCTTTGAGATATTAGAGTAACGTTATTTTCAGGTATTACAACACCTACAAGAGGGAAAATGAAAAAGCAATAAAAAATGTTTCCAGCTACATAAATAACCCTATCAATGCTTTTATCACTGTTAAAAGTCTCGTAACGGATCTAAAGAATATTGAATATTTGATTACAACAGAACCAGGTAAGTTTTAAACATATATACAATTAATAGTTCGGGCATTAACACAATCAACAGATATTACAAGCCTTTGAATTGCCTGACGTAACGTCACCGAGCGAGAGAAAGATAGAGGGACTCAATTCTGCTATTTTATTATTGTATCAATAGACAGTAAATGGACTGTGGTCGGAATAGTTTTGCACTTTTCGTATTCTACTATGTAAGAACAATGGGCTCCCGATGACTTGTCACTGAACTGCCACCCATACAAATGTCGTCGATAACCTTGTAATAGTTTGGTAAACGGTTAAATTTATAAGGAAATGATATTATTGAATTTTCCAAATATGGCAATGTTGTTAATATCACCATTGATGAGCCATTGTCACTAAGTCCACAGTCTATTAATTTATGTCAATGGAATACAGATATTTTGACTGATGGCAATGACATCAGTCAAAATATCCGTATTCCATTATCATAAATTAATGGAATGACAATAGCCCGTACATCATCACATCAACAGCCTTTAATAGTCCACCGCTGGACATAGGCCTCTCCTTAGAAAAAAGGTTTTGGCCTACTATATCGCACTGGCCACACGGGTAGTATAGGGTTTGTGTCAAGTTTTCCTCCTCTTTGCAGTGCTGTTGCCCTGCGTAGTTTACTCCCCTAGTTGGCTCTTACGATACCCGCAGGACTACTAGGGGTGGCAACACACCGTATTCTTAATCCGTCACCACACGTATTTTTGGATTGTACGTTAACATAAAATAGTAGAATTGAAGCCCTGCTGGCACTGTCGCAGACGGACTACTCAACCCGAATTATTGTGTTAATTCAGTCACTACATTATACACACATACACTCACGCCGATGTTTCCCTCAGGGTAAGCAGAGACGTATTAAACATTTTAATCCTACTAAGTTAATAGCGGTCAAGCTAATTTAGGAATTAGATTGGAAAATTGGGTTCAATTTGAAAGGAAAAGTTAAGTAAGATGGGAAGAAATTTTTAGTATAAGGAAGCTTATACAAATGAAGCGTAAGCAATAACTCGAATAAGTCTGGTTGTGCTAAAATTCGAGCTCTCTTATCATTATAGAAACAGATAATTTTTTGTAAAACATTAAATTAACTTAAGATGTCGTCCATCTAATCCTTGAATTAAAACCATAATTATGGTCTTGGTAACCGTTGTTTAGACAATGTAAAGTACTTAGTATGATCATATATATTGAAAAGCACTTATTCCAACATCTTTTTTTTTCGTGTGGACGTCCCAACAGGGCATCACTATGCCAAAACTAATAGGGTGGTACGTCGTAGTTAAACCCACTAAAAACACACGGTGTTCACGCCGTGTCTTAATGGTGGTGCGGCGGAAGGAGTTTAAACCGGTTACTCGCTGGTTATGCGATCGCCCCACCTTCACCTCTACGCGCCGACATTCGACGACTTATTTTGCCTATGTATACACGTCTTACATTATGTACTAAATATTATATACATTTCGAATATTGTAAGTTTCGCTAATTATAATACAACTGAATGCTTGGAGCGTCTGCGTTTCAATTGGCCAACCCAAGACACCACTATTCATCATATGGTGACCCCGACGTGATTTACCGAATTACGAGGAGAACAAAAGGACCCGTACAACAGCTTCCAGCCAACCCTCGCTTCAAGCCAGCCGGTCAGCCCACAGCGCCGCAGCCAAGGTTTAGCCAGGGAAGTGTACCAATTAATCCTTTTATTCTAACATCCTATTATACACACTTCTATTCGATTGTGTGATTTTGCCAACTTCTATGCCTTTTCATGCCTAAATCTCGCGATCTGGTTGGAAACTTATATTTTATTCTATCTATATAGCTTACATATAATACTTAATGAAATAGCTTCCCTTTACTTGCGCATCAGTGTGCAAATTATTTTACATCTAACAAAAATTATTCTACTGATATAGCTTACACATAATACCTATTCCATCAAATAGCTTCTCGTGATTCAGCATCAGAGTATAAATTATTTCATAATTATCTTACAAAAATAGTTACGCGTAAATAAGTGCGGGGTAGGTAGGTGCCTGCAGCCGTTATCTATAGCTGCGCGCACACCAGTAAAGCGCTGTGTACCTCATTATTTATATTGTATAAGCTTTTTAGTTATATTCACGCATTTGTGCCATTTTAATTGCTTTAATACTTTACTTTGGTTTTTAATTTTTTCTAACAATGCCTGACACAACACTACCTCCACTATCTGCGCTTCTCACCACAAGAAGCTCGATTAAAGGTCAGATAACTAAATTTAGAAATTATCTTGATAGGTTAATTAAATTCGAGACTATTCCGTCTGAAGAAAAGACAGAACTGGCATTGAGGTTTGATCGGTTCCGGTTACTTTTTGATAAGTTTGACGAACTACAAACGCAAATTGAAATTTCGTCTTCAACGTCAATGCAAGTTGAAATAGATTCTCGAGAGGAGATAGAAAACGATTTTTTTACATTAATAGCAAGCGCTCAAAGGATAATGAATGCATCGAACGATAAATCGGATGTTGATGTTGCGCAAGCGCAGTGCAGTTACCGCGTTACCGGCGGTGAGGTGAATTTTAGATTACCCTTAATTAAAATTGCAAATTTTGATGGTACCTTTTCCAAGTGGCTCGAATTTAGGGATACCTTCAACTCTCTGATTCACGGCAATGACCACATAAAATCTATACATAAGTTTCACTATTTAAATTCCTATTTGGAGGGGGAAGCATCTCAAGTAATTAGTAATTTAGAGGTTACAGAGTCTAATTATACTGAGGCTTGGCAGCTCCTTTGCGATAGGTATGACAACAAAAGGCAATTGATTAATAATCATCTCAATTCCCTGTTTAATATTCAACCTATAGGTCGCGAATCAACCAAGGGATTGAGGTATTTAGTTGATCACGTGTCTAAAAACTTACGAGCTCTAAACACACTGGGTCAACCCACTGATAAGTGGGACACATTAATTATACACATGGTCTCAGCAAAGCTCGACAGTAATACTAACTTTAAATGGGAAGAACATAGGAACTCGCTTGATGATATGCCATCACTTTTTGATTTTCATAAATTTTTGAAGTGTCGCGCCGACATTCTGGAGTCGGTCCAGCGAAACAAATCTGAACGAGCCACATCGCAGCCCAAACGAGACTTATTCAATTCACACAAGTTACCAGTGAAATCTTTGCAAATTTCAGTCCCTTCTGGCGCTTCATCTATTGCTTCTGCTTCTTGTGTTGTCTGCAACGGCCAGCACCGCATCTACGACTGCTCCTCGTTCCTGCTCAAGTCCATTGAAGATAGGATTAAAGAGGCGGTAAATTTAAAACTTTGTCTCAATTGTTTACGCAAGGGTCATTCTTCTCACCGTTGTAGGTTGGGCCCCTGCTCGAAATGCAGAAAGCGTCATAATACCTTGCTACATAGGGAAGTCTCTCAGGCTGACAATACTCTTGTGAGCCCGCCAGCGCAGCCCGACACTCAGGTCACGACTGGTGTGGCTACAGCTCACAACAATCAGGTTTTGCTATCTACGGCACTCATTGATGTTTATAACCCTGTAACCAACGCTTATCGAACCGTTAGATGTCTTTTGGACAGCGGGAGTCAAACTTCTATAATCACTTCCAGCTTGAAACAACAGCTAAAGTTGACTCCTCAGCTTACTAATACAAGCGTAGTAGGTGTAGGTAATATTACTATGTCATCTGTGCCCGAGCGTTGTAATATAATAATAAAATCCAAATATAACAAGAAAGTCAATTTAAATACATCGTGTTTAGTTTTACCCACTATTTCTAGTAATATACCTCACAAATACTTTAATATTTCTCACTTTAAACTCCCGTCTAACATTAAACTCGCAGATCCTAATTTTAATAAACCAGCACCTATCGATATTTTAGTAGGTGCCGATCTATTTTGGTATTTAATAGGGTCCGAGCAAATAAAATTAGGCAAGTGCTTACCTATCATACGTAAGTCTAAGTTAGGTTGGATATTGGCAGGGCCTATGTATGATAGAACTTCATTAAAACAACCATTAACTCATTGCAATTATATTTCCACAAGTGACAATTTAGATAAACAATTAACGAAGTTTTGGCAGCTGGAGCAGATCCCTCAGCCTACTGCCCAGCACACCGACGTCGAAGCCGAATGTGAACAACACTTTGTCGAGCACACATACCGCAACAAAGACGGTCGGTTTTGTGTGCGACTTCCATTAATCACCGAGCCCGATTGCTTAGGTGATTCATATCGACTAGCTAAAAAACGGTTTATCGGATTAGAAAGGCGATTTAAAAACAATCCAGATCTGAAAACATCCTATCAACAATTTATTTCAGAATACGCTAACCTAGGCCATCTTTCTGAGTCTAAAACTAAGCTACCTTATACTTCATTTTTTGTACCCCATCATCCTGTACTCAAACCATCTAGCGAGTCAACTAAAACTCGAGTTGTATTTAACGGCAGTGCCGCCACAACATCGGGGTACTCAATCAATGATCTACAGATGGTCGGGCCGTGTATACAAGACTCACTTTTTAATATCTTGCTTAGATTCAGAACACATAAATATGTAATGACAGGTGACGTTGAAAAAATGTATCGTCAGATTTTGGTTCAAGATTGTGACCGTGATTTACAAATGATACTCTGGCGAAATAATGAGAATGAAAGGTTAAAAACATTAAGACTCAACACAGTTACGTACGGATATTCTAGCGCCAGCTTTTTAAGTACACGTTGCTTGTGGCAGCTGGGAGAAGAATGTGACGACACACACATTAAAACTATTATTCAAAGCGATTTTCTAGTTGACGATTTATTGACAGGGACGGACTCGGAGGATGAATTATTAAAAATAAAAATTTCAATCGAGCTGGCTTTGGCAGCCGGTTGTTTTCCTCTACGTAAGTTTCGTTCCAACTCAAAATTAATTTTAAATTCTTGTCAAAGTCTTAATCCTCAAGGTAGTCTTATACTAAGTTCCTATTCACATACTCTGGGAGTAGGCTGGGAGTCTGCTGCTGACGTCATACATTTCCCCACTCAATACAACACAAAAAACGTTTCCCCTACCAAAAGATCTATTTTATCGGACTCATGCAAAATATTTGACCCTTTGGGTATTTTATGTTGTTTAACTATAGTGCCTAAAATTTTAATACAAAAATTATGGTTAGCCAAACTTAATTGGGATGAGCCCGTGCCCGATTTTATTGAGGCATCTTGGAGACAATTTGTTAACGGTTTATTTTTATTACAATCACTACAAATTCCTCGGCACGTGTTATGTGATTCCTCTAACTATATAGAAATGCATTGTTTTTGCGACAGTAGTAAGAACGCCTATGCGGCCTGTGTTTATCTAAAATCTATGAATCATCGCGGTGACGTCGCAGTCCGGCTCCTGTGCGCCAAGGCGCGCGTGAGTCCGGTGGCACCCACTACGATTCCCCGATTAGAGCTCTGCGCTGCAGTGCTCGGCGCTCAGTTAACGACAGCCGTTGTGCGCACATTGCGCTGCCAAATTAATCGTATTTTCTACTGGACGGACTCTTCAATAGTACTAGCGTGGTTACAAACTAGCCATAATAAGTTAAACACATTTGTTTCGAACAGAGTAGCAACTATTTTGGAATTAACTGACGGCTCCGTGTGGCGTCACGTGCCCTCCGCGTGCAACCCTGCGGACTATGCATCTCGCGGTGTTGACGCGCATAACTTAGATAAATTATACATGTGGTGGAACGGACCATCCTTTCTATATGAATCTGAATGTAATTGGCCACAATTATATATTAATAAATTAAATTTTGATGATATTCCTGAAGTGAAAACAACTGTAATGTTAACAAATGAAACTCAAACCAATAATACATTAATTAATTTCGATAAATATTCTAAACTTAAAACTATTCAACGGTTTTTTGCTTATGTACTTAGGTTCCTACATAACTGCCGTAATACAAATAACAAGCTCATAGGAGTTTTGCAGCCTGAGGAACTCGAATCTTCTTTTAAGCGATTAGTTAAAATGTCGCAATCTAATAGCTTTCATGTTGAATTAAAACCTCTTGTAAATAAACAACCATTGAGTTCTAAGAACTCTCTTATATCATTGAATCCCTTTTTAGATAGTGAAGGCATTTTGCGTGTAGGTGGCCGCCTCAACTCATCCTATTATTCTTTTGAAAAGCGCCATCCTATGCTTTTGCACGCTAAACATAGACTTACGAGACTACTCTTTCAGCAGGAGCATCTGCGTCTCTTTCACGCTGGTCCCCAGCTGCTTCTCAGTTCCACGCGTGAGTACGTGTGGACTGTCGGCGGGCGCGACCTCGCACGCACTGTTGCTCGGCAGTGTGTGACGTGTCGGCGCGCCTCTGCTAGAACCCTCACTCCTCTCATGGGAGCGTTGCCTTCTGAGCGCGTAACTCCCGACTTTCCATTTGTTAGTGTCGGTGTCGATTTTGCTGGACCGTTTTTAATTACAGATAGGAAGGGACGGGGTTGCAAAATTAACAAATGTTACTTAGCTATTTTTGTTTGCACTAGGTTTAAGTGTATTCATTTAGAGGCCGTAAGTCAACTATCAAAGGAAGCTTTTATATTATCTTTACGTCGTTTTATATCTAGACGCGGAAAGCCACGTGAGATTCTCTGCGATAATGGTAGGAATTTTGTCGCAGCCGCCAAAGAGATTGGTAACTTTTTAAACGAAAATTCTACTTCTATCTCCTCCTTCGCGTCAGAGGAAGGGATAAAATTTAAGTTTCAACCAGCCTACGCTCCCCATTTCGGGGGGTTATTCGAGTCAGGGGTTAAGTCCGCGAAGTATCACTTAAAGAGGATTTTAGGCAACTGTCACCTAACTTACGAGGAATTGGCTACCTTATTCAATCAAATAGAAGCCATCCTTAACAGTCGTCCTTTGTGTCCTATTTCTTCGTCTCCAAACGATTTCCAACCCTTAACTCCAGGTCACTTCCTCATCGGCCGTGCCTTGACTTCCATGCCATCGCCTTCCATGGAAGGCCTTAACGAGGCCAGACTGGATCGCTATCAGAGACTTGAAGCTATACGTCAACATTTTTGGAAGCGCTGGCAGCTGGAATACGTAGCCGAGCTTCAACAGCGAACCAAGTGGCGCAAACCAGACCGCCCTATTCAGCTGGGTGAATTGGTGCTTCTTAAGGAGGACAACGCGCCCCCTCTGCATTGGCATCTCGGCCGAATTTCAAGACTTTTTCCCGGACCAGACGGGATTTCACGCGTGGCTGACGTTACTACTACCACTGGCACCTATCGACGAGGTGTGAAATACCTCTGCCCCTTATTGGACGAGCCTACAGAATCGTTGAAGACTTCCGTCTTCAAGGGCCCCCAGGATGTTCACGCCGTGTCTTAATGGTGGTGCGGCGGAAGGAGTTTAAACCGGTTACTCGCTGGTTATGCGATCGCCCCACCTTCACCTCTACGCGCCGACATTCGACGACTTATTTTGCCTATGTATACACGTCTTACATTATGTACTAAATATTATATACATTTCGAATATTGTAAGTTTCGCTAATTATAATACAACTGAATGCTTGGAGCGTCTGCGTTTCAATTGGCCAACCCAAGACACCACTATTCATCACACGGTATTTCATCACAATATCACAATGAATCTGTTGCAGGGGACCCGGGATCCCTAACAGGGAAGCAACCGACTATGGGTCCTGACCATTGGTACAATGGTTAATGTTCCCTTGTTCATCATCATCATCAACAGCCTTTACTAGTCCACTGCTGGACATAGGCCTCTCCTTAGAAAGGAGGTTAGAGCACCTAAATTTATCTAATACTTAGACTTTTTTTTCAGAACAGAAGGTAACACTCAAACACAAAGGTTTAGTGTACCCTACGTTGGAAGATTTAAAAGGCACCGCACAAGGGCTTACTAGATTAATTAAAATGTACCACTTGAATGTGAGGGATCTTGCTGATGGAAAGCTTGAAGGGGAGGCTTTAAGGTAATAGAGTCACATCCGTTGATCAAAAACCAACTAACGTACCTCTATCCATACAGCGTGAGATCAGTAATTCGACAAAATACTGGAGCAATATGGGGCTTTACAAAAAAAACAGTCTTAAGCAATACTTTCGCTACTTTTCACCGAAGGACTTAATTGTACCGCAAGCGCAAGCCCCACCCTGCCTGAATGCCCTGTAGGAAGGGGGAGGGGGGACACACTGGTGCTTCTAGAATTTAAGATGTCAGTGGCAGTGTTTTGGGAAGCGTCACTTACCATCATAAGACGCGTCTGTTCGTTTGTCCTGTATGCCATACAAAATAAGCTCGTTGAATATTTAATGATTTCATATTTGTTATCTGTAAATTACGTGGCTGTAAAAGATTTATTTCTACTCTTGTCTTCTATACTTTCTTGTCTTCTTCGCATCCTGTTGTTGTACGTTTGCTTCTTCCCTGACTTCCTTTTTCTAACAGGGATTTTAAAAATGGTTCTTGAATTCAGCATAACATATGATTATGTGGCTCTCAACAAATAAGCAAAACAGGATTTGTAATTACTATGCTTGCGTAATCACACAAAGAACGCAACAAAACTTGTATTGTGAACTTGTTTTGTGAAATGAGAATTATTTGATTGCAATTCGTTCGTACGTAACGATTCACTGTGTGGTTAAAATTGTCTACGCAAAAGCAGTCCCGGATTTACGATTTTTTCGAACCGGGGCAGAAACTTAATTATAGCGCCCTGCGCAAAAGATTCTTCTGCTCGCTGTTATATTTCATCATTAGTCATTGCATATATCCACAAAATACTAAAAATAAACATTTTAAGTTAGTAAATAACCCTAGTTATTATAATTTTAGTACACCCATGACAGCCAGTGATTGTTATATGCTCGGTCGTACGTTGTTTAAAGATAAAGATTTCGAGATGGCTATACTTTGGATGAAACAAGCTTATCGCAAATACAACGAAGAAGACGTTCCCTATCGGTTCACTGACATCAATATACTTGAATACATTAGTTATGGATATTACCAGCAAGGTAAGGTCATAAAACCAAATATAATTTGTGGTCATCCCTTATACAATACTCCAGAGAACCGCGAGCTAAATGGGAAAGAAAATAAATAGTAGGTTACTACAAATAAAATTGTATCATCATACATACATTGGCAAGTTATGTTCTTAGTTGATTATATCATCGGTGATGGCTTTTAAAAGTTTTTTATGTACAGGATCAACGAGGAGTACCGCTCTTTGAGCCCCTTTCTCCCCGCCCTCTCCCCAAATCAGGATTAGAGGCTCCGGTAACCGCACTCACTCGGTGAAATGAAACGAAAGATTAACTACGGCTTTCTGTGAGTCTATGTTATGACTCCAGTCGAACCTGGCTCATATTTGCCGAAGCATAGCTCTTTCACCTTTGTACCTATACCATAAAAAAATCTGCTAAACCTTTGAGCTCTTTGCAAACTATTTCAATTGGTTTATATTAAGCCAATTTGAATTGCTCGTGTAGACTTCAATTCGTGGTTTGAGCAGATTTTGAGCAACCAAAAGATATAGCGGCTTGGCTACAACACCGTTACTGAAATGTAAACTAACCTTATTTTAGTAGCTATCTAGTAGCATTCACTTATTATCTTACGTGAACTTAATCTCAATAAATTATTAATTTGAGACGTTTGTTCGAAACATGCTCTTCAACTAATATCGTTAATTTATTCTTGGAATAAAACAGAACCCTTTCTATGGAAACCCAGTTCCTAATTATCAGGATTTAGGAAGTTTACACAGATTAAAGTGTGTATTTTTTTTACATAATAATATATTTAAGCCATAAATATAAATAAGGATCCTTCAAACGAATAAATTACTTATCATGCCCTATTACTTTCTATAGTAACTCTATATGACAAATTGCACGTAAGAGCAGAAATATCAAAATAATATCATTCCAGGTGAGACACAAAAAGGTTTACAGTGGACACAAAAGATATTGAACATAGAACCGGACCATAAAAAGGCTAAACAAAGCCTGAAAGGCTACATAAAGAGACTTACTAAGAAAATAATAAACCCAAGTCTTGGAAGTCGAATAGAAGTAAGATAAAACAATTATTCTTTGTGACAATTTTGTCGGAATAAGTTAATTTCATAACAGGCGCAAATAGTAAGAAAAGTATTTAAATTCCAACTCAGTGTCTTTATTTTATATATTTGTTTAACAATTGTTCATAACAGTCAATCTTCACGGATGGCGTAGTGATTTAAGTGGTAACCACGCCGCTTCCTAATGTGCTGAGTGCTATGGGTTCGATCCCGGCATAGGACACCACTTTGTGTGATCCACAAAATGTTGGTCTGAGTCTGAATTTTGTTTGTGTCTGTTTCATGTATGAAAGTAAAGTCCTCCGCGACACAGGATATATTCTTAATGCGGGAGTTGTCTTTTTACAAAAAGAAAAAGAATTCCATGTGTGACAAAATAAAGTATTTAAAAGTTTCATAATCATCATCATCATCAAACTATCGTAGTCCACGTAATTACTGAAGTGTCATTTACCGCCGTATCGCTCACTTTTGTTAAACTGTTGTACGAGTGCAGGCGTTCACATTTAAAGAGACAAGTTATATGAGATAGGTTTTAATATAGTTTATATCAGAATTGGTACTAATTTGGCGTTTCATTGAAAGTGCAGCCTAATCATCATCAGCCTATCGCAGTCCACTGCTGGACATAGGACATAGGTCTCTCCCATTGCACGCTACTTAGATCGATTTTGGGCTTCTTGCATTCAGCTCCTGCCAGCCATTTTGCGGCAATCGTCACTCCAGCTGGCCTGTGGGCGTCCTACACTAGGTTGCCGAGACGCGGTCTCCACTCAAGATCGCGGTTTTCTCGATATTTCCAGAAATTTAATTTTACTAGTCCTACTGGTAGTTTCATAATAGCGATGCAAAAGATACACAATTCCTTACATTTATTCTCTTTGCTGTCTAGATCTTGCATTAAACATACGAATTGATAAAATTTATGACGTAGTGTTTAAATATTCAGTAATAGTAATGACTACACAGGAAAGAGAAAACCCATCTATGGCCGAGGATGACTATAAAAAGACGATGTTAGAAGAGAACTACGAGGACCTTTGCCGTGGAGATATAGACTTATCCGTACAACTAATAAGCAGGTAAAATACGGCACAAACTTTATTACTTTTAAACGAATCTGCGCACCCTCTGTGTATATCAGCACATGGACCAGCTCGACTGGAGTGTTAATACGGCCTCACAGATAACTGGTGTTAAACAATTATTTTGTTTCTTTTCACTGAGTGCACGGATGGCGTAGTGGTTTAAGCGGTCGCCACACCACTTTCTACTACGCTGAGTTTTGTGGGTTCGATCCCCCAGGGAACAACACAGTGTGATCCACAAATTGTTGTTCCGAGTCTGAGTATTCGTTGTGTACGTTTCATGTGTGTTTGTAAAATCTCCCGCGACACATGATATATTCCTAATGCGGAAGTTATCTTTTTAATTTCTGCACTGTTCCTACTTCTTCTGCATAAACCCCAGAGAGCCAAACCCATTCAAAAGGAGATAACACACTTGCGACTGTTGTCTCACTAACCATTAGGTGACCAGTCTGCGCGCTTGCGCAATCTGGAAAAGATTGACAATTCCAAAATACTCCAGTACGTAAACTGAAATAGATACAATTCTAGTTTATTCAATTAGTTGATTTGCACACAGATGTCATTCACTTCCCCTAATGTAATTAGAGGATGCCAATCTAAATTTAGTTCAGAGAAGTGTTAAAATTTCAGAGCGTTTTTATTTTTTTTCTATTTCTAAGGCTGTTTGTAATTTTAATTCAAATGCATGATTGAAAACATACATACATTCATTCACATCTTGATCTCCATAGTATATTAAACAAACATTAAAACATTTTACCGACTATAGTTTTAATTCTACTTACATAACGCCTATTACCTACGCAAGTCGTTGTATTTTTTTTATGGAAGGCATAAATCGGATATTACTTTTTTTTTTAGTTCTTCGTCAAATCGGATGATTAGGTACTATATTTTTTTTATATTTTTGTTAGAGGGGGCAAACCGCCGCCCATGACGTTTATAACTCAGGTATCATAAAAGCGCTGCCAGCATTTTCTTGATGGTTTGAAGGTCGTATCGGTCCGGATATATCGTAGACAATAACTTGTTCCACAGATTGGTTGTGCGAGGCAAAAAGTGTCTCGAAAAGCGCACAATAATAGAGCGCCAATTACCCATGATGAGGATGAAAATTTATGTTTGTAATTACAGATTAACATGTCGATATGTAACTGAGACGCATCCGTTTTTGAAAATAGCTCCCATCAAGATGGAAATGAAGTACCTGGACCCTGAGGTGGTTCTGTATCATGAATTACTGAATGACCGTGAAATTGAGTTGATAAAACGTTTCGCTATGCCTAGGGTGAGGTCAATATATTATGTTTACAACTACGCATACCTGCTAAATACCCATTGAAATTTGTTTGTTTTTTTTAACGATTTTTTTTTTAATTTTCCTAAGGATAGTAGTTATTTTGAGAATTTAAAAAATGTATTCATATCTATGTAGAAATGTGTATGTTTTTACATTTAATCATCATCATTATCAACAGCCTTTAGTAGTCCACGACTGGACATAGGCCTCTCCTTAGAAAGAAAGCTTCACATCTAATACGTGCGTCAAATAAGCCAAGGATTTGATTCTTACAGAAGAAATTAATTAGCTTAAATATTGAATTAAATTTTCTGTAAACCGCTAAGTTTTTACATTAATTTGGCCAAGTTAAAATCCAATAACAGTTCTATTACTGGCTTTTCTAAACTATAGAATTTCAAGACAACTCTCTTTTTAATTACAATTTTCTCATTAACTTCCATTAGTTTGCCTGTCTGTTTAATGAAACAGATTTAGTTTCTACGAGTAGCTAAGCTTCTACAGATTATGTTTAGTTACTTCGTAACTATCGTGGACTTAAAAGCGTCAGGCTCATATCTTTGTCTTAAAATTAATCGTATAATTCATTTCTATTTAATAAAAGGTGTTGTTTTGCTTTGTTTCAGTTGTATTCTTTTACATATTATTATTATTATTTTCGTAAACGTCTCCATCTAAGCAACAGTTTTTGCTAGGAGTTCATGTATTATTAAATGTAAATCTTACTAGGTATGAGTCAAAACTTGTAATCTTTTACCAGACTTTGGCCAACCATTTATATCTAGAAAACTGGCTGGCATTAGCACTAGGTACTCGTGTGTGGTAACATTAATGATCGATCCGAGTTCCAGACCTTTCTTATTTTAGCTAAATATGGTAATAATCTAGAAAGAAGTTTGTATGATTTCGATCGTTTAATAATTTAATTTATCTATAATGCTCACACTATTGTTTAATAGCTCGCCTTACAAAGCTTTATTTGTGCCTTAATGCCAGAAACTACTTGCCTCAGTTATATATTACTCCAATGCTGTTAATTGCTCTAATAATATTATTAATTTGTAATTTATCGTGGGAGAGCTTGTGTGCGATTTGTGTGCCTTCCACAAAGGGTTCCAACGCACTTATATATCTCGTGTCGCAGATGTTCATGAGAGGCGGTACTCACTTACCATCGAGTGAACCGTCTGCTCGATTGCCCTTTATTTTATAAAAAAATGTGCTCAAAATAGTAAAATCAGTCAAAATCAGTAACAAAACTACTATGAACATAACGAACGAACATAAAAACTAGTGAATTTTACACATTTATATTCATGTTCGCCTTAATTTGAACTGAAAACTGAAACTCATAAAAAATATTTTTTTGAAATCACACAATAGTTTCGAAAATTTAGCAAAATAAATCGAATATAACATAAATATATACATATATATACCTAACGAAAATCTATTTGTCAAACCACATACAATTTTACCAATGAGCGTAGAGGAAACCTGTACGCTCATTGGTAAAATCACGGGTCACCTGATGGAAAGTGACCATCGCCGCCCATGAACGTCTGCAACTCAGGAGTCACAAACGCGTTGCCGGCCCTTTAGGAAGGAGAACCCACTTTTCTTGAATGTTTGAAGGTTACGACCTTCAAACACTAAGCCCTCTGATTCTGGGGGAGCAGTCAAAGGCCAGCACAGCACTCGGCAAGTCATCGTCAGCTCGTTGGCCCCCCTACGCCATAAAACAGTCAGTCTTACAGATTGTACGAAAACGAGAGGAAATTTACACATTAATATATATATATATATTTTCAACAGCTTGAACTTGCGAAAGTCACTAAATCAAATAACGATTTGGTACACGATTCCCGTGTTAGTAAGATAGCCTGGTTTGTAGACAGTCAGCTGGAAGTCCTCCAGCGGATCTCAGATAGAATATCGCATTTCACAGGGTTGAGTATGAAAATCAATCAAAGCCGGAATATGCAAATCTGCAATTATGGAATTGGAGGACACTTTTTGCCACATGTGGATCCGCCATATGTAAGTAGACTAGATTTTTTGTGGAAGGCCTTATGCCGCCATTATTACTGGCTGTGCAAGACAGCATCATAAAACTCTCGTAGATGATAGCGCAAATTTGTTCAAAACACGCTTCTCAAGACCCCGTATCAAAATATGCAGATAACTGTAGTTTTGTACTTATCTTTTTATTTTATTATTAAACTTATATATGCAAAGGCAACAGTAAACAAAACAGCTTATCGTAAAGAAGAGCAACACGGTTTGCTTTGCTAAATTGTCACTATTCATCAAAGTATATTTGTAAACCCGAATTACAAAAAAAACTATACTACATTTATCCTTTCTAACCCATCACCTCTAATGGTCTCTTTGAGCCCGCGGAAAACCAACATATAATGAAAATTGTAATGACAACACACAAGTCAATTAACTTTAAAATTCAGATCCCTTAAAGTACAAAACTTTTTGATAGGTAAGTATCGACTGTATACCATGTCCTTCCGGGCCAACGTCCCCACCTAATTAACCTACTGCCTTACCTGAGTGGCAGAGAAAAAAAAAGACGATAACGGAGGCGAAAGAAAAACCTGTGATTAGCCTGGGATGTGGTACTGGATTCGAAAACTTAAAATGACATTTTACACATACGTTATATAATCATTAGACACCGTGTTTTGTTTGCAGGTAAATAATAATACTTACAAAATACATGGAGGTAGAAGGCTCGCTACTGTGATGTTGTACGTAAGTATAGACACACAATTAAATCAATAACTTAATTATAATTAATTGACATCTATAGTAATCCCTTTGTACCGGATTTGAGATAGCATAGGCGCCTTCTAGCTGTAAAGTTCGACTTGTAAAAATATCTGAAAAGATGAAAAAAATTTTTTTTTTATTTATGAGAATAAATGGATAGTTTTTTTTTGTAAAATGTATCTTACATGAATGAATATTGTTAGATTTTTACTACGAAGAACATTGTTTATGATATTATTGATATGATATTGATATTATAAAAAAAGCTTTTCTTACTCTAAAACTTAAAAAATCGTTTTTTTTTAATTACAGGTTTTTTATTTATTTGTAGTGAACAGAAAATTCCTTTAATAGTTAATAATAAATATTCTTTTATTTGTTAAAACAGTAACCAAATTGTAAAGAAAGTAACCAATAAAAGACCAAAAAACTGTAATGATGTCCCAAAAACACTGAACATTTAGGTATTTTTCAAAATTTAATTTTCTAAAAGGATGTGATTAAAAAATTTTTTATTTCAGATATTTAATTAAATACGTAGATAACGTGAACATCAACAGTAATATCCTGACATCGAGACTGCTTAGTCTCGATGTCTTGAGTATTACTTAATAAGTGAAGATTTTTGTGTTTTTTTGTTATTCTACGAGTAGATGACAGATGTGCCTCGAGGTGGTGCGACAGTATTTCCCAGAATTGGTTTGAGAATACCGCCAACGAAAGGAACTGCTCTTGTGTGGTTCAACTTGCACTCTTCAGGAGAGGTGAACCAGGCTACATTGCATGGCGCATGTCCTGTTTTATTGGGCTCCAAATGGGGTGAGTACCATTCATGAACAGTTTTGCTGATGATACAGGTTTATTTTTTTATTTTGTTTATTAAATGCAGTACACATTACAATCAATTAAAACATAAATCATAAATACATCGCTTAGATCTGGATCGTAGCGTACGTCATATGTACACAAAGAAAAACAATGAAGATTATACAAAAATTATCTCTGATTCATAATACTGTAAGTAATATAACAATAAGTAACAAAGAATGCTAATGCAAACCCAACTCACGTTTCACTCAGTTGGACGTTGGCATAGACAGCATCGTAAGAGATATGATTCAGGAATCGAGAATTTGCGAGTGTTAACAGCCTGAAGTGTTTTATTCTTTACATTGAAATTATTATATGCCGTGGTATCACTGGTAGTGAAGCAAGGCTTTCCTATGTTAAATCTTTTGATCCATCGTTAGGGACAACCAGGTGAATAACAATGGGCGGTACATCCCCGTACGGCAGAGTTTAACCTCCAAGTCGCAATATGAACAAATTATATACCAATAAGTATAAATTATAATACTAGGAATATTTAGGTTTACACAAAACCTTTGATACAATTTCGCAGTGTGCACAAAATGGATATACCAGGCAGGACAAGAGCTTCGCAAACCCTGCAATCGTAAATACCAACCCGAAGGATACGATATGACGGCCGTACCCCCTCCTGTCCTCAAAGTTTCCAGGTCCGTAGTCTATTTAATTTTTTTTTATGTTAGAGGGGGCAGACGAGCAGACGGGTCACCTGATGGAAAGTGACTATCGCCGCCCATGAACGTCTGCAATTCAGGAGTCGTTTGTGCCTCCTGAGTTGAAGACGTTCATGGCGTTGCTGGCATTTTAGGAAGGAGTACGCTCTTTTCTTGAAGGTTTCCACAGATTGGTTGTGCGGGGTAAAAAGTATCTCGAAAAGCACACAGTAGTGGAGTGCCAACTATCCAGGTAATGAGGATGAAAATTTTGCCGTGTGGAATGATGGCGGAAAGTTGCGGCTGGTATTAGTCCGAACCATTCCTCGGAGCACTCTCCATAATATATGCGATAGATAATGCAGAGTGAAGCCACATCTCTACGTAACGCCAAGGGATCGAGCCGATTGGAGATGTTTGGGCTATCGACGACTACTACTAAGTTTGAGCCACTTTCATCATCTTCTAAACCTGTGCAAAATATTATTTGAGTCGGGGTCATGTGTGTTTTGGCTGGTTCCTCTTATGGTCATACGCTTGCCTGATGCTATCCTTCCTTGGAAATGTAATCGTTTTCAAATGAGATAACGGGAAAAGGTAAATAGGGGTGAGGAGATATACATAGACTTTTGGTAAAGGAATTTGGGATACCGTACATCTCAGGATACGGGACTAAAACTTACACAAATCCAGTCATTTAAAGAGAGCGATGCCGTTGTTGGAGAATCCCGTAAGAGACGATTAATCGTCGTATTAAGGTCAAAGATTTCCTAACCTACTTTAAAAAATCTTTCCACAAAATTCCACCAACTGCCAATGATAGATAACATTTTTTATTTCATTACTTTTTATTTTAGCCACAGTTCATCAATTCACAGTAATCATCAGTACGTAAGTTTATAAAATAGCTGTGAATATCATTTTTTTTTATCTTTTCTATGAAACTTGTGGTATGGAAGTGATTTACAACGCTATTGTAAGCCATTTTTATTATAAATATTATTTTAAGGCGTAATTTAAGGAAAATATATTTAGTGCAAAACATAAATAAATCTAATGAATGTTAACACAGGGATAGGATATTAATGGAAGAATATAAAAAGAGCCCTGAAAATATCAAAAAGCGCAATATGAATCATAAGAAAATACAGAAGAACACACCCAGTGCAATAGAGACTGACTCTGCAACTGACGCAAGTTATTAAAGAATTACATAACTAGAAGATGAACTCGTTTTTTTTATACCCTAAGCTTAGCTTACGTTTGTTTAAAAAAACATACTTGTTTTTGGCATAGCTATCGAGTTCATGAACGAGGGAACGGTTATTATCTACTGCATGAATGTTGCTGTCATTTTAAATGGATTTTACACAGGCTTGTAAAAATATCTAAAAAGATTTACTTACAAAAATAAATATAATTTCATTTCATTTCGCTTATCATATCTAACAGGTTACAAAAATGTTAGGATTTGTAATTGTGTGTTCTTCATTATTCTATGATATGTATGTACTTAAAAATATAAAAGTATGTTTATCAGCAGTCTGGTTACCATAGCACAGGCTCTGCCTTGTTTGGGATCAGAGGTCCGTGAGTGAAATATACATAGTATTATTAATTTACGAATAGAAATTTAGCGTTAAAAAAAAGGACTTACAAAATTGTATTCATTTTAATCAGTCTAATTTCAGCCTACTATGTCCTGGAATTTTAAGTTTTATATTAGAGTTATTGACGTAAATAACCACGATGGGAATTTCTAGAAATGCAGATTTCGATTTATAGTAGGCTCTTCCTGGTGTAGTACAAAATGATACCTTATCGAACACCGCAGGGAGCCGTGATTTCTGTAGTGAAAAGAATGTTTTTATGAAATAGACAGTATTCGTAGAGTCTAAGAACTATGTCTCTGTACAGCGTACTCCCAATTAGTATTACTATAGTAGGTATAGTACAAATTGCTAGAAAGATTTATAAACATTGTGATCTGCATTGCTTAGGTGCTCTGTCATTATATAAGGCGTTTTTTTTCCGTGTGCTGACGGATAAGGAATACGGAATGTCACCATCCCTGTTCAGCCCGTGGGTGTCGTCAGAGCCGACTAAGGGAGCAAGCTACGCAGGACAACAGCACTGGACAGAGAAGGAAAACTTGACAGAAACCCTATACCAACCCGTCTGGCCAGCGTGGTATAGTAGGCCAAAACCTCCTTTCTAAGGATAGGCCTATGTCCAGCAGTGGACTATTATAGGCTGTTGATGTTGATGATTGATGTAAAGGTATTTTTTTCTATTTTATTACTATTGCAATTTCATTTTAATTACATGAATTGTTACTCTAAATCTATTCGAACTGTTTTAGAATACTTATTAATTATCAAACAAAGATATTTTTGTGACGATTATCGGAGATAGATGATAACGGCAACATTGTTACTAAGGTTTTTAATTAATAGCGTTCGTAACTACTTCTAAATTAAATTTAGGTAAATCAATATTACTAAGGGAGGTAAAAATGTTCTGTTGCTAAGCGTCACATAATTATGAATTAATGAGATTTCGATTAGGTGTGATATCGGCCCATTAAAATTCTGATTACCTACTAAACACATTCTTTCTTATCTAAGACAGTTCCATTTCTACACTAGGAATAACCATTATATAGGCATAAGTATATGAAGAAGAATGGTATTGGTATAAAATATTTATTTATATTAGGTTACGTCTCTACGTGATGAGCCACAATGATATTAATTCCAAAAGGCACAAAGGTTTGTGTCCTAACAGATTCTTACGATATGATTGTAAGCACACGTATCCTCGTTTGAGGTTTAGACGTTTAATATACTTTGTGAATTTGGGATTGTCGAATAGACTCACCACCCCTTAACCTCGCTATAGTTCTAGATTCAACAAGTTAAAATTACAGTGACCAAAAATCGCCTTGTCATTATTTACTTTTTTAATTAAAAATTATTATACTAAGCTGCTAATTAAATGCTTTTGTGTTTCAATATAATGAAACTAATATGTTAAATAACTGATTCATACTATTCAATTGTTTTCTTTTGCCATCGTCTTATTTGTGGCATTTGCATATCTATCAAAAAAGCGTAAATGAAAAAAAAATACACAATTACTTTTAACGCCTTTTTATATAAATATACTTATAATAAGGCTTTTACCCAGGATAACCAGACTATGACCTAACCTACTAGGGTTGTGTGTTGTATTTTCGTAACCTCGAACATGTTTTAACACAATCATCGGATAGAAGTTAAAAGGGTTAATCAGATTAGTTATTAATTTTTTGTGTGTGTGACCCTCGTCCCTCTAAACTACGATTTAATTATAAAACATCTATGTTATTACATTAGAGGTATTCAAAACACAATATATTTTTTCTTAAGGGACCGAATACAATTGAAAGAAATCCAAGGAAGAGTTCATACTATAAATTAAAGAAATGGCGTCTGATCTATGGATGGAACAAACGACTACCAACTGTTTTTTCTCTTTTGTAAAAAAATGAATTGATTTTGGTGTATGTGTAAATTGTTTGTAACAAATAATTGATTTACTGAGAACTATAAACGCAAACTATAAACACGGCCGTTATTGGCTGAATGCGATTCGGTAGTATTCACGTAACAAATTTATGAGGAAAATAAACTTTGATAATGTGGTACATAAAAATGTTATAAGCAGCGATATAAAAATTATACAATGAGGTAAGATAAAATTACAATTAAGAACTGAGACACCTGCGGCCATTTATTGACAGTACATAAATAACAGTATTCTTGTAAATTAGTATGTAGAATAACTAAGATACTGTGTGATATATTTTATGATGGTGAGTTGGAAATGATGAAACAAAAACAAAAAAATTCTTTCATGTGTTCTTTTTTTGTTATAATATAACTACTAACTACTAAATACTGTATGACTGCACGGATGGTGTAGTGGTTTAAGCGGTCGCCACGCCGCTTACTACTACGCTGAGTGTCGTGGGTCCGATCCCCACATGGGACGACACATTGTGTAATCCAAATTGTCGTTCTGAGTCTGGGTGTTCTTTGTGTCTGTTTCATGTATGTTTGTAAAGTCCCTACAGGATATATTCCTAATGCGGGACTTCTCATTAAAAAAAAAGCATTGCCTGCTATTAATTTTATCTTGGTTTTGATTTTAGTTATAATTTCTTGGCTGATATTATTATGAAATTAAATGTATTGCGGGGAATTTCTTTCATCTTAACTTTTAATTTTATACGTGCGGAGTTTTATACGGCCTTAGATGGTGTTGGATACCTGTTGGAAACTCGTAAACGTGTAATTGATAACGCATATTCCTACATCAACGAGGAAAGAAGAACGCTTCTTATTTTAAAAAGGTAAATCAAATATTAAGTGATGTACTCGTAAAATGACATGTTCAACTAGTTATCAAATCATTTTTAATTTCAATTTTTTAGATATTTAGATCTGTTTAAAATAGAATATGACATGGCATCAAAAGGTATTCCTAAGTATTTGGAAAATCCTCTAAATGCGTTTACTTTAATAAAAAGACTTGTTACGGATTTAAAATATGTTAAGCATCTTATTAAAAGTGGAGAAGGTAAGTAAACCAATTTCTCTAAATATTTTAAATTGAACAATACTCAGTAATTATTTAAAAAAAAAACAACAAGTAGATAGTCTAGCCCAGTCTAAGTAAGTAAGGGTAAGGGAACTTAAGGTTATTGTCTACTGGAGATAGTAAAAAAAAACTTAATGCTTGTTCTAGAAATAATTTATAAATTCCTTTTTTCCTGCAACATGTGAGTCACATTAATACAACCCACGGTTTTCTGCAACGATACTATATTATACTAACTTTTACAAATTATTTCAACTTTCAATTTCACATCACATCAACAGCCTTTAATAGTCCACTGCTGGACATAGGCCTCTCCTTAGAAATTAGGTTTTGGCCTATACCACACTGGCCAGACGGGTTGGTATAGGGTCTGTGTCAAGTTTTCCTTCTTTTTGCAGTGATGTTGTCCTGCATAGTTTGTTCCCTTAGTCGGCTATTATGACACTCACGGTATGAATTGGATGAATTACACTTTCAATTTAATCAGAGCATATTCTAACTCCCATTGCACGCCACTTAGATCGATTTTGAGAGGCCTATGTCCAGCAGTGGACTGCGATAGGCTGATGATGATGATGATGATGATATTCTAACTTTTCTGAGGATACTTTAAATTATTTGCATAGCCCTATGATCACTAGTTATTTGATAAGTACTTAAAATCAGCGTTTTTCGGGCTAACATCAATATCACTAAATGCTTAACGTTAACTTCAATTTGAAACTCATATTTTTTTACTTTTAATTTAAATTTATTTGATCTGATCTTGTATTACCATGACACCGGTGATTTACAATGTTCGGTCATTCGACGTGTACCGTGACACGTGACGGATTAGGATGACAATGAAGGCTGAATTTGTCTCACCTTCCTATGTCTTTTTTACCCTACCTTGTAACTTAGCCTAACTTATTAGTAAGATATTAATTATGGTCAATTTTTGTCGTTGTTTTCAATTTCTTTAAAAATATAACAAGAATTTTATAATACTGTCCCTTATTTTACCGGTGAAAATCGAAACGAAATATTACGTGGTTTTATAGATCTAATATAATATGGTGACATCATTATTTTAGATTATTGTGATGCTTACAACTTCGTGAAATGTTTAAGATATCTATAGCATCACATTAATTTCGTATTTAAGGCTCGTATTTAAACCTGTGTATCGCGTCGTTGAAAATGAAAATTGCAAATTCTCGTTGGGATTCTGATGTACAATGAATCGGGAATATAGTAGACTGCATGAATGTCTGGTTTAAAATGGAGATATTTTGTATTTTTGTAAATAATTAAATGTTGTATGCTTCATCTAGTAACTTGATGAGATTTTAAATACAAATATCTCTTGAAATTTAAAACGTTTTGTTTTGTTTGATCAGTTAGAAACAAAATTCTGAGAATGTTATAATTAAATTTTATAATTAAAATAGGAAAATATTTAATTCCTAAACATTGTATAATTAATTTGTAGAAAATATTCACAATGTCACTACAAAACATGAAAACATCAAATATCCTACTTCAGAAGATTTGATAGAAGCTGTCAAGGGATTAATGTCTTTAGAACAAGTATACAAGTTGGATATAAAGGAAATTGCCAATGGAAAACTAAATGGCTTTGTTTACAGGTAGTACAGAAATACTCTATGCCACGCCACCTGAAATCGTATTATAAAGATAAACATGACAAGTTGGCAGCGTAATACTAAAGACACACAGAATATATCACTGCACGGATGGCGTAGTGGTTTAAGCGGTCGCCACGCCCCTTACTAAGTGTTGTGGGTCCAAGCCCCACATGGGACGACACTTTCTGTGATCCACAAATTGTCGTTCTGAGTCTGAGTGTTCTTTGTGTCCGTTTCATGTATGTTTGTAAAGTCCCTCGCGACACAGGATATATGCCTAATGCAGGAGTTGTGTTTTATAAAAAACAAAAAAATGAAAAACAATATGCTTTGCATATTAAAAGACTTAATTTACAGCTGATATGGAATGGGAATCAGATCAAAATTTACTAGGTCTTATACTGAATAAAATACGTTACTAATTAAGTTTTTATTTATATTACATTCTTTAAACCTTGAAGCAAAGAGAGTATCAGATTTAGCTAGCACAACTAGCGATGTGATGGATGGTGATTCTGGACACCAAAGAAATTGTAGTAATAAAGGGAAAAATATCAAAACAATCTTATAAAACTATTTTTCTTTTACCCTTGTATAATCATTGAACCTAATATTGTTTTGTACGGTTCTCAGTGCGGCAATGACGGCCGGTGACTGTTACGAGTTTGCCCGAATAATATTTAATGAGCTCGATCCTGAGTCAGCAGTCACGTTGATGGAAGAAGCATTGCCCAAATATTACGAAGAAAAATTCCCCTACCTATTTACTGATATTGAGATCATGGAATATATTAGTTATGGAAATTATATGTTAGGTATTTTTTTTCTGATTACTATCGCATGTAGATAGACTTTTCAGATATTTTGGTACGATAAACATTGCTCTAAGCAAGCTCTTAATTGGCCGGAGCCGGTGAGGGAAACGATGATGATGTTCCACCCATCACAAATGCAGAGGTAGGGACGGTCGTCCCTACCTCTGCATTTAAATCGTAAATAAATCGTATCTTTTAAGAATCTGTTCCGAGAACACTGCCCCCGGGCCACCTGTGTATCTGATATTTTTTTAACGTTTGGACAACACACTTTAAAAATAATATAAGCTAATTTCATGTCATCAATCGTTGTTTTCTTTGGCCATAAAACAAATATAGTATAATTTTGGAAAATCTTTATATTTTTAGGAAACCCAAAAATTGCATTGTACTGGACCAAGAAAATTTTAAATATTGAGCCGAACCATGCAAGATCTAGAAACAGTTTAATTCGTTTTCAGAAGGATATCCTTGACGAAGAGACTAAACCAAATAAACTTTTGAATAAGAAGAAGAAAACTTTGAGCAAGAGACTGAAAAAGTAAAGAATGTTTTGTGAGCTGTTAGTAACTAATATCTACTGTATACAAATTTACACTAACTTAAAGATTTAATTACTTTAATAGATTTTGAATCGTCTTAAAAGGCAAATCAAACCAATTTAATAAAATCAAAGTGATAGATTTAAATTAAACCAATTAAAGGTATTTTTAACAGTCAAGAGTAAGAATCAGTCAGTTAAATTAGTTGCAAAGGCAGTTACCTGTTCTAATTCATAGGTTCTGTGGAGAAGAACAGGCAGAAAAACTCCAAAAGTAAGAAAAAACATTAAAGAGTTCTGCGGAGCAATCTAAAGATACCAGGATCAAATCCAACGTATATCAAAGTTTTTTTTTTTATTCCAGTGTTCTAGAAGGAGCTTTTACCCACACGGGCACAAAAGCTCCATTGTTCCTTATACTAATATATTATCTACTATACATACAATTAGATCAACTAATGAAGAATAATTATAAAAAGGCACTAATACTAATTTGCTCAATTTTTGGGCCACTTCAGTTTTTGGGTTTGCTAAAATTCTGTGTGTTAGTCCAATGTCTAATTTATCAAAGTAGTAGTTACTTTACTCGTGCGCTATCAATGACTGTGTCTATTTATGTATTGCATGGTCTGTAGGTATCATTTCTGACGAAAAGTTTTGCACGCCTACCCGGCAGGATATGATGAACCTTTGTTAATTGAATTGTCCAACCCTGTACTCATATTCATGCAAATAAATGATTATTATTATTATTATTATTAACAATAGTAGTATTCGTCTTACCGTGGGATACACATGGGCCGTACATATATGGACCGGATCGACCGGAGTGCTTGCAGAAAGTCAGTGATAATTAGTTTTTTCGTTGCTCATCACCGACTGAGTGAGACTAATGGAGAAAACTTCCCCTCCCGCCCCCTCCTCTATTTTAACACAACAATACCAATCAATAAACAAAGCTCTTGAAGGGTTCGGGTACCCCTTATGACATGTGTGCATAATCTCCTGAAAATGAAATTAGCAAGTGAGACAGGCAAGCATAACAAATGAAAAACACATAAAGAAACTAACCTACGTACTTTCGCATATTTAGGTTAGGATTAGGTTATAGATCACGTTTCATTCTTGAACATGATTAAGCCACGAAATATAGCTTTAGCATTCTTACAGCGTTTGCTAAACTTGGATTGACAAAAATAAATTAATCTAAACCTATTATTTAACAAGCTTAACTGGAAGGAACAAGCCTAAATCATTAATGAAATATAAATTAACTAAAACCCAGGATATTGAAACTCAGATGGATGATGAGTCGAATGATCCCAACTCTCCAGAAACTTATCAAGCCATGTGTCGCGGAGATATTGGTGTGCCTGTTCAAATTTCCAGCAGGTAATGCACGTAAATAGTAAAAAAAATGAATATTTCAATTACTTATGAAGAGGAAACTAATATAGAAAGTATACAAGTTACACTAGACTTTAATTGTTCTGTATAGCCCGGCTCGAAGGACCACAACTTTTAGTGTTGCAACCCAACAGAGACATCAATGCTAACATAAAGACTCGAACGACAATCTTCCAGCTAGGTGTATTATTGCAACTATAATTAATAAAAGTTAATTAACTATTATAATGGACCTTAGTTTTACATGATCCAAACTGCCATCATTTTTGGGCTGACTCGCTCGGAATGATACAACAGCCTCACAGAAAACCGGTGTTCAGAATTTTTGTCGTTGCTTTTTCCGCGTGAGTCAGGTAACCAGAGCCCCAACACTACTACTACTCTTCATGATTGTGGGAGAGCGGTCACTCAAAGCGCGGCAACCTACTTATGAATCTTGAGTTGAACACCTGGTCCATGGGCAGCGCTAGTCACTTATCATCAATTTTCATTTTTTTTAAACTGAACTGAAAGTTTATAATTTCAATTTGCTGCACGGATGGCGTAGTGGTTTAAGCGGTCACCGCGCAGCTTACTAATAAGCTGAGTATTGTGGGTCCGATCCTCACATGGGACGACACTTTGCGTGATCCACAAATTGTTGTTCTGAGTCTAGGTGTTTTTTGTGTTCGTTTCATGTATGTTTGTACTGTCCCCCGCGACATAGGATATATTCCTATTGCGAAAGTTGTGTTTAAAAAAAAATAGGTTATAAGCTTAAAGTTATAGAACACGTATGATAAATGAATTAGATTAATTTAAAATGCTTTGGAACTGTTAGTTAACATTACATTTCTTCTATTATTTTTCTTCGTTGCAGATTGACATGTCGTTATCTCACTGAAAATCATCCGTTTTTAAAAATTGCTCCTTTCAAAATCGAAACAGTCTATATAAACCCTGACGTTATCATATTCCATGATGTTTTGAGTGATGGCGAAATAAATAGCATGAAAGAACTGGCCAAGCCCCGAGTAAGTTATTGTCAGTACGTTCAATTTTTTTTTTATTATCTTAATTAATTAATACGAGTAACGGAAGTGTGAATATAATGTCAAGTCAAAATAAATACGAAATGCCAGTTGCTGCTGCGATTTCGTGGATTAATGAAAAAAATATATCGCAGTGAAAAAGATTTTTTTAATGTACATCACATATATTTACACTTACAGTGATATCAAAACCTTAGAGTGCTTTCCATTTGACTAATATTCTGAGTGTTGTATTTGTTCCTTTATCTTTTCTCAGATCCTTTAAAATCCTTTGGGTCATAGAATACACATAATTTGACCCTTATATGGTGCCCCTTAGCATCAACTATAATAGTAAACTTATAATATAAAAAATATAAGATGCTTTTTTAATGCCCTCATTCGTGAGTGCAACAAAACTTTATCTTTCGAGCAAAGTTGGAAGAGTATTCTAACTGACCTGCTTGAGGTTTACACATCGTTTAAAATCGTCCTCCTTTAAAAGTTCCGATAGTAGCTGGAAATTACAAGTTTAAATTCCACTTCGAGCTAAAGTTTCCTTCTTGAAGTACGACTTAGAATGTAGTACATTAAACTTTTGACTTTTGTTACACTGTTACACAAACTTTATCGACATACAAATATGTTTGAACTGTTAAATAAACACCGCACTTGCACTGCTTTTGATATCTGACTAGCAATCCGCCCCGGCATCGCACGGGTGCAATGTGGATACTACTACTACTACTAATGTGGTGTCTGTGTGGAGTAATTAATTACACTATTATTATGATAGGAATATAGTAGAGGATATCTTTATAATAATATGCAATATTTATAAGCCCGCTCTGCTCCTCTCGGCCGTTGCCACCCGGGACGGACGTCAAGCATGACGCGGCGATGGCCGCGTTGCCCCCGCATGCAAAATCTCTGATATCTACTAAGATATTTATATTAATGATAAGGTATATTAGGCAATCTTAATTTTAATTAAAGAACAACGTATCTAACGTATTTATTTGGATAAGGAATAATACAGTATTGTTCAATATAGTTTTTTAATCATTGATGAATCACTTTATCTTTAGGTCCATTAAAATTTAAAAGACCTAAGCTTACAAGAAAAAAAGCGACTTTATACTATGCAAAGATATAAATCCAAACGATACCTATGTCAGAATTGATAACAGGAACCTCTTTTTGCACAGCTCCGTCGAGCTAGAGTCCAAGACCCAATAACAGGTGAAAAAGTTCCTTCAGAAGAGCGCATCAGCAAGTCAGCTATCACCATTGAGAAGTATTTCAATATATTTGCCACCATTTCTCGCCGAGCGATGCATATGACTGGTTTGAGTATGGAGAAAACTGGCGAAATCCAAATGGCAAACTACGGAATTGGTGGATATTATTCAGCTCATCATGACTTTGTACATGTAATATCAAATAATATTGCTCTAATTTTGATTAAGGAAGTGCTTACATCATTATACGAGCTTGTGGGTTTTCAATAAAATGAAGGCAATGTAACGTTACGTTTCATACGCGTCGTACGTATATCCAGTCGTCTTAAAGATATATTTAAATTGTATTTTGTTCATAAAGTTTGATTTTATGGTCATATTTGCAGTGACATATTCTTCTGAACGGTGCAGAGATATATTAAGGTTATTTTGTATAATTATCCTTTTTTCTTAGCTCATTGCCATTTACAGATACTACAACTAGGTCAAATCAATATGTTTCTAATCTATAATAATAATAATAACCTCACACATCTCACACACGGCCGTCTGATCCCAAACTAGGCAGAACCTATGCTATGGTAACCAGACTGCTGATAAACATACTTGTATATTTTTACATAGATACATGTTATAGATAAATTACACCCAGACACAGAACAAATGACCGTGCTCATCACACAATAAATGCCATAGAACATTTGTTCAAAATAGCCAATTTGATAGTATTCCTTTCTAACTGATTGTATTTGTTGAAATTAGCCCACAAAAAGGAACATAACACATGTTGAACCTATAAGTGTATTATTTATTTGCGTGTATCTTTTCCAGGTAAATAATAACACATACGAGTACATAAAAGGCGGTAGAATAATAGCTACTTTATTGTTTTACGTAAGTACAAAAGTATTCAGAGTAAGTAAAACATAACCAAATGAACCGCTGTAAGTAAAGAACGACCTTTTACGTATGCGCCAATCTGATCTAAATGCATACTGATTGGATACGAGACAACATTCACGTACTTTCAAAATCTTAACGAAATCATAATTAAGTTTTATATTTATATGACAATTTCAAATAATATTAGCCATAATATGATTATATATTAATGCAGTTTCTGTAATAGTATTTTTTACTATAGAATTTGTGTTTACATTGTATAATATTTACACAAATTATATAAGTAACTATTTTTCTTAATTATTAAAAGAATGGCGGTCTACAATACAGCAGTTGACTATTAAAGGCTGTTAATGATGATTGATGACGTCATCATTCCTACTTTATTAATTGTTAACACACATTTCAGGGATGCTCTCGTTTATTGAAATACTCACATATAATTTAACATTTTCTTTCTTTCTTAGTTGTCAAGTGTAAGTCGTGGTGGCGCTACTGTTTTTCCATACCTTGGTGTAAGCGTGCCTCCTATAAAAGGAGCGGCGCTATTCTGGTACAACTTGCACTCTTCTGGAGAGCCCAACCATGCGATGCTACATGCTGGTTGTTTGGTGCTGTGAGGCTCCAAATGGGGTAAATAATAATTTAAACCGTAAAAATAGGCAAATCGTTGAAATCCTCCATATTACCAGTGCACCTGTTGAAATTCCTTTTCATTCTTAATATTATCTTATATAGAATTAGTATTGGTTAAAGGATAGAAGATACTGTCCCTATACATTCATTGTTTTCATCTGTAGATGTACTAAATAACGCACCGTATGTTAAAATCTGAATTTGACAAACATTTGTCAATTTACCAGGTTGGAAAAATGAAAATGTTAGGCTGCTGTAAAATAATTCCTTAATAGTAACTGTAACAAGGGTAGCCTTATCCTTGGCGTTGTGTTCCAGTTCTCTTTACAATTGTAGAATTATAAAGAGAACTGGGACGCTTACGCTGTAGATATATTTTATCGGGTTTATAGTGCGGCACTGCGAGATCGTGCATTGGACACTTAATTCCCTTCTGACAACTGAGAACAGTCATTTTTGATATTGGTATTGGCAGACTGCTCTAATTTCCACATTTAAAGATCAAGTGCAGGCATTTGTCATGATTATCGAAGAACTATCGTGTAAATTATTTTCTAAAAGCATGATGATGAGGTACAGATAAATCTATTGATATTTTTTTGTTACCTTACTACATGATTGACTACTAATATTCTTGTTTCAAAATAAAAATAAATCTTCATACAGAATCTACGTTCCAAAATTAAATTTTCCTTCTATAAATATGGATACTTCAAGGTGGTCAAGAACTCATTAAGCCCTTCAACCTGGAATATCAACCAGAGGGCATTAATGACAAGATCCCTAGCCCAATGTTAAAAGAAACAAGGTAAAATACGTACACATGGATTCGGTATGAAAAATTATTAACCCGTCTGACCAAGACTGCACGGATGGCGTAGTGGTTAAAGCGGTCGCCACGCCGCTTTCTATTACGCCGAGTGTTGTGGGTTCAAACCCCACATGGACCAACACTTTGTGCGATCCACAAATTGTTGTTCTGAGTCTGGGTGTACTTTGTGTCCGTTTCATGTATGTTTGCAAAGTCCCCCGCGACACAGGATTTATTCCTAGTGCGGGAGTTGTCTTTTTAAATAAAAAAATAAAAATTGGTATAGTAGGCCAAAACCTCTTCTCTAAGGAGAGGCCTATGTCCATAGTTAACTACTGAAGGGTTTTGTTGGTTGGCCTTCTCCTATGATTCTTCCCTTCATCGCATGAGAGCCATGCTTAGGCGCTTATGAGCTGGTTCGACCGGAATTCTTTCACAAAAAACCGGAGTGAGTTTACCGGAGGCAAAATTCCCCTCGCTTGAGCTGCGGGTGTCCATGGACGGTGGTAGTCACTTATCTTTAGGTGATCTGTCTGCTCGCTTACTCCCTCATGCTATATAATACCTACCTAGCGCACCTTGATCGGTAGTTTGAACGGTCATCTTGCCGCTTTATACTATCCTGAGCGTTGTGGGTTCGATCCCCACATGGGAAAACACTTTGTGTGATCCACGAATTGTTGTTCTGAGTCTGGGTGGTCTTGGTGTCCGTTTCGTGAATGTTAGTAAAGTCCCCTGAGACACAGGCTATATTAGTGTGCTGCCTGTGCGAGAGTTGTCCTAAGGAAAAGTTTCGACCGGTAAGCCGAATAAAATCTAGTTATCCAATATCATAATAGCAATGTTATTTTTACTATAAGCGTTTTCACTTTGTAATAATAAACTTTTGAAAACAGGGAAAGAAGATTATTTGAAGAATACAAGCCAGTTCCTTTAAGACAAGAAAAAAGATTGCCTCAAAACCAAGAAGATATCGAAGTTCACGATGAGTAAATTGTAGCTTTATTTAAGTTCTCTTGAATCAATGCAATGGTGTAAAGTATACAATGTATGTACTTACTAAAAGTACAAGTTATGTAAAAATAAGCTGAGTTAATTAGAAACACAAATAAATAAAGTTTTAAAGCAATAATTCAAAAATTATAAGGTAATTCTATTGAATCACTAAGGAATAGGCGACGACATTTTCTTGCCATCAGAGCAACAAAATCTATCATCATCAGCCTATCGCAGTCCACTGCTGGACATAGGTCTCTCCTATTGCACGCCACTTAGATCGATTTTGGGCTTTTTAAAAAAAATTTAAAATTACTTTTTTTTTATTTTTTATTTTTTATTTTGGCTTGTACAACATTTATTTCCTCCTGTGTTTAGCATAAGGCATTATGTTTTTATTGTTTTCTTTTAAGTAATCCTTATGACCATTTCAATTGTTAACATTTTGAATAAAGACTATTAAGAATATAAATACTTATCAACATATGCAAATGTTTGTTTCACAAACTAATTCTAGTGACTTGATCTTAAATAATTCTCAGCGTTATTCAGTGCCATGCAGAAGAGTGTTTTTTTTTTATTAACCTTTAAAGGAAAGAATTTTTCACACAACGCTACAGAACGGCATCTGCAATGATAAAAAGGTTAATAGTTGTGTTGATTTCTGCTTCTGATTATAAATTGAATCCTTTGAGAAAAACAGGGTTAGTGAAACTAGAAAACGTGCTTACTTATCATTGACATTTTTAGTCATAAAATTCATAGATCCTTAATCTTTCAAAGTATAAATGTATAAAGAGGCTAACTGAACGGCTGTTGAAACTAAACAATGATGACACCAAGCATATGATTATTGGTGTGGAGTTATCATTCTTAAATAACCACACACACATATACACTACGCATATATATATATATTATATATATACAAACACACACCCACACACCAACTACTATTATACTAACAATACCTTTTACTATAAAATAAAGACATATTTTATTTATATAAAAATTGTTAGATATCTTGCTACGCTGTCAGCGCTTTTTTTTATCTTTTTTCTTTTATAAAGACAACTCTTAATTATCCTGTGACTTAATATATCCTGTGTCGCAGGGCACTTTACAAACATACATTAAACGGACACAAAGGACACCCAGACTCAGAACGACAATTTCTGGATCACACAAAGTGTCGTCCCATGTGGGGATCGGACCCACAACACTCAGCGCAGTAGGAAGCGGCGAGGTGACCGCTTAAACCACTACGCAATCCGTGAAGTCATGCTTTAGTATATAATCTAGGAAACGAAAACGTTAAGGGGTGGGAACCTGATGTCCAGAAACACAGGCCTAAGAGCCTAACTTAGGCGATATCGAAGTTTCGTAGAAACACTACTGTCGGACTTTTTAGGGCTCCAAATACCCGTAACGATTGCTAAACTGTGCTCCGAGGCACAGGAGGGGTCTCAATGTGTTACGAATGGTCACCCATCCATAGACTGACCTGGCGATGATTGCTTAACTTTGTAATGTGTAAACCTAGTCCTAGCCTAGCCCCTCAACACTAAACAAAAAAGGATACATTTTAAATTACATGTAAGTATTATATGTCATAAGAGGCCCGTCTAGTCGTTTGCTGTTATACCATAAAAAAATGCTATGGCACTTTTTTTTTTTACCACATTTACACAACGCCATCTAGTCCCAAACTAAGCAGAGCTTGTACTATGGGTACTAGACAACTGATATAAATACGAGTACATATATACTTTTTTTTTTGTAAATACGTACATATTATACATAGAAACACCCAGACCAAATCAAACATTAAATGTTCACGCACACAAATGTTTCACTTGAGTGGGAATCGAACCTGCGACCTTCGAAATAGTCCGTTACACAAACCACTACGCCATCCGGTCGTCAAACCTGGACCTTACCTGGACTTGAAGTTAGAACAAGAACAAGACTAACATTAATTCCATTAGCATATTCAATAAAGCAATCGATCCTTAACAGGTGTGTACATTTGCTATAGAATCAATATTCACTTAGATATAACAGATATGGTATGTTGGTATAAATTAGTTTCAACAGAACAAACACGATGAACAATTGAATCCCGTCAAGTGTTTGACTGTGAATCACTTTGGAGAACACAAGAGGTAGGGCTGGAACGTATTTATACAAAACAGACTTTATTCAAATAACACTAGACTCTAATCTATACTAATATTATAAAGCTGAAGAGTTTGTTTGTTTGTTTGAACGCGCTAATCTCAGGTACTACTGGTCTGATTTGAAAAATTCTTTTAGTGTTAGATAGCCCACTTATCGAGGAAGGCTATAGGCTATATATCATCACGCTAAGACCAATAGGAGCGGAGCACCAATGAAGAATGTTTCAAAAACTGAGAAAATTTAATACTATTGAGAGACGCAGACGAAGTTGCACGGGTCAGCTAGTAATAATAATAAATCGTATATTAATAATTACATTTTAAATTCCCTTAATTCTATGGTACATTTTTATGTTCCATCATTATACTAATTATAAATTTTACAGGCATTAAGTAAGGGAAGTTTAGCGATCAACTCCACACTCTAATATGTCTCGTGGAATTTTTAGGTGGTATTGGCGATTTTGAATTTACTCATTAGCTTTGGACAATTAAATTACAATTTATAAACATAATAAATCGAAAATCAAAACTGGATATTAGCAGTCGCGTGTTTTCTGCTCAAACCTCGTAAATGTTGATAAATATATAAAAGTAAATCGTATGTAATGAAGAATTTTGTGCGTTTTGCGTAGCGTGTAGTGTCTCTCTCTCTCTCTCTCTCCCTCTCTATCTCTCTGTGTGTGTATGTATGTTTATCTGTGTGTGTGTGTGTGTGTGGGTGTTTGTGGGTGTCTTTAAATAAGTGTAAATGTGGTATGTGTGTCTTAGTTTTATGATATTACCTTTATTAATAATATCATTCCTCTTCTTTAATTGTTCACCATTAATTGCTGTTTTTACTTAAATTGACCACTTCAATACAAACTTAAATAACTTAGAGAATCAGGATCCTGTTTATGTTATTAAAAATATATCATTATCCTGATTAGTCTGAATTCATATTCATAAATGGTATTCTCTAATCCATAGACTATATTTAAGCTATTCTAGATTTGAATATCATTTCGATACTTTGCTGTTTAGTTCGTATAAAAGATCTCCATGGAAAGTGGACGCCACCAGCGTTGTACTTTTTGTAGAACTTTTAAGCGACGATACCCGCCGGCGGCTATGTGCCTGTTTTCCAACTTGGTCATATTAAACAATATCACAATAAGTGAGTTACAAAAATTATATTCAAGGCACTTAATCTTAAAATAAATAAAATATTCATGAAAAGAATTTGCTCAGCGTCGAAACTATGCTTAAAACAGGCTCGCGTTCCTTGTTTTGACAGTTTTATTTCATACTGTTTTAAAGTAGTTCATTGTCTGGATTCATTAAATAATATCTTGTCATTAGACTCTGAACGTCTGGCCAGCGTGGTATAGTAGGCCAAAGCCTTATTTCTAAGGAGAAGCCTATGTCCAGCCAGTGAACTATTGAAGGCTCTTGATAAACCAATTGAACTATGCAGAACAACAGCATTGCAGAGAGAAGGAAAACTTGACACAAACCCTATACCAACCCGTCTGGCCAGCGTGGTATAGTAGGCCAAAACCTCCTTTTTAGGGCTAATGTCCAGCTATGTTAAAGGCTGTTGGTGATCCGATATTTTCTCGCTGTCTACAATGTTAAGGTTGCCTATATCTACCGGATAGAGATCAAACCTGTTTCATAGCATCCTAAAGGGGCGTACGTTTTTACTGTATGTATTTTTTATTTCCATAACAAGATTATGATACACCATAGATTACATTACTCTGCGTATAGTAATTTTTGTCTATAAGATCACAATCCTAATTGATTTTGAAGTTGTGGAGGTTAATAATTAGATTAATATTATATTAATGAGATTAATATTATGCTCTCAGATTACGTTAATTTGTGATACCGACCGAGGACCGAGGGATATTGGATCGAGGCGATCATCAATCACATCAACAGCCTTTAATAGTCTACTGCTGGACATAGGCATTTATTTAGAAAGGAGGTTTTGGCCTACTATACCACGCTGGCCTACTGTACCTCGCTGCCCAGACGGGTTGGTATAGGCCTATGTCCAGCAGTGAACTATTAAAGGCTTTTGATGATGATGAAGTCACCATTTTTATACAATACTAGCTGACCCGGCAAACGTTGTATTGCAAAACAAAAAAAAATTAGGGATGGGTCACCCTTACCATTTAGGGGTATGAAAAATAGATGTTGGCCGATTCTCAGACCTACCCGATGTGCACACAAAATCGGAGGAGTGTGACACGAGAATTTTAAATATAAGATATAGATTTTTCTAACTTAAAGTTTTTTTTAACAAAACATGTATGTTTATCTTTAAAATATATTATCTTATAAACCTTGTACAATAAAAGCACAATCACAGCATCCGGGCGGCTTAGCACGAGATAGCAGTATGTAGGTCATATGAACCGGGTTCGAGTCGAGCTAATGCAGTCGGATCCCCCAGGCTTTACACCGCTCTCCCTTGTTTGTGTCTGTGGTATGCAACACTGAAACAGAATAATGTTAGTATGCACACTATGTAATAAGGCATTAAGGTATTCAACTAGGCTTCGGTGGTGCAGTGGAATCGTATGCGACTGCTGAAAATTCAAGCATGTTATGGTTACTGGCGGCCGAACCCTTCGAGTTACACGTCTCATAGCACTAATCTTCAAACTTAAAAAAATGTTATTGAACTCACATATAACTATAGTACCAAAAGTTATCGATAAGTTCAAAACAAATCAAATTTCAAAATATAAAGTGAAAGAGCGGATTTCATAACGGATTTAATCTCGCCGTCAACTAATAACAGTTGGATTAGTTCCGTCC